GGGAAGAACGGCTCATTCCAAGTTTAACATACCAATTGACTTTTCAAATAAATCAACATGCGACATTAAAAAGAAAACTTTCTTAGCAGCCCTATTAAAAGAAACATCAATCATCATATGGGATGAGGCCCCTATGAGCGAAAAATGGTGTTTTGAATTTTTAGACCATTCTTTAAGAGATATCCTCGACTGTGAGGCTTATTGGTGGGATGTCGGTGTTATTGGGTGGTGATTTCCGTCAAACATTACATGTATCTCCAAAAAGCAGTAGATGGCAAATCGTTGCCTTAACTTTACCAAAGTCGTATTTGTGGTCATGCTTCACGATGTACAAACTAAAGTATAACATGAGGCTACTCAACGATGAAATTCCCTATACTTCAGACTTCTTTGTATCCGCGTTCGCATCCTGGTTCTTGAAAGTTGGAGATGGAGATTTAGGATATCCAGATGTAAGTAACACAATGGATGCAAGATGGATTGATATACCATCTTCACTTATTCCTCCTGGAGAAGCAACTCTACAAAATCTCATACATTTTTTATATGGGGATGGCATCCTTACAACGCCATCTGCTACTGGCTTATCAGCAAGGGAAATTGTATGTCCAAAAAACAAGACAACTCACCACATAAATGACCTAATTCTCAACATCACCCCTGGAAATATGACAACTTACAAAAGTGTTAACTTGATTGAACCAAATGGCACTCAAACATTAGAATTTGAAAGCTTCTACCCAACTGAGTATCTAAATCAGCTTAACTTTCCAAGTATACCTTCACACCTCTTGTCACTAAAAGTTAATACTCCAGTTATGCTAACTAGAAACCTAAACCAACGAGAAGGGTTATGTAATGGAACGCATCCAATGGTGTCAAAGTTACTACCATTGCTAACTGAAGCAACTATTATAACTAGAACATCAATTGGTAGACGAGTCTACTTATCGCGTATAAAATTTACTCATAAAACCACCGATCTACCATTCACTTTCATGAGAAAACAATATCCAATTAAGAGTTGCTATGCCATGACTATTAACAAAAGCCAAGGTCAATCTCTTAAAAAAATTGGTATATACTTACCTGATCCTGTTTTCAACCATGGCCAACTTTATGTTGCACTATCCCATGCAACATCCCCAGACTCGATTAGAATTGTCATAGACTCAACTTCTGACAAAGCGCATAACACAACAAAGAATGTTGTATTTAAAGATTTTTTACACGACATAGATAGCAACGAGGTCGAAGTCATTATCAACCTAACTATCTTTGGAAAATGTTATAATGCTGATTTCTTATCTCACGCTTTTATACTAAGTTACTACATCAAAATTATTTCCATTAATAACAAAAGGTTGTTATGTTCACTATCCATTCCAAAACATTAGCTATAACAGCAAAGAAATGATTGAAGAGTTCACAACAATTGTTGAGCTAGGATACAGAGCACCTGGAACAAAACTTGAGCTTCATATTGTACGTGCATGGACGCCACGGGTCCGTACATATGAAACTTGGTTTCTAGCTATCGACAAACATGTAAGTATGTCATTCGTATTCTTAATGTATACATATTACACTCTGTAACTTGAATTGTGTTTTGGTAATTTAGGGAGATGCAATACAGATTTTGGGACAAAATAAAGATTAGGGATACATACAATCTGTTTTTAAACTTTCTAAATGTTATACGATTTCCAAATATGCATGTGGAGAACCAGACGCCTTTCAAAAATGGATAGACAACAATGTATATGTCGTTGTTGGGATGACGTCTTCCATCAGTGCTCTCCCAGACACGAGCACGATTCCTAGAAATTGGTTCCACTTTGTTACGAAAAAACAAATACCCGACTTTATTAATCGCTCCCTAGGTACAAATTCACACCAACACGCACTACATAACAGCCAAACAACTCGTCTTTTTAAGTACCCGAAAATAAACATTCTCTCATATTTAACTTCTCATCACTTATGCAGACTTCTTAGGAATGTTCATTAAGTTCAGAGACGGTTTCAAGAAAAACAGTGAACCCTTTACTCTCATCATTCTGAGAAATAATCTGTAAGCAATTTATCTTTTTCAATCTATTACCAACGTTACTAACATCTACAACTCACATGATTGGTAGTGGTGAGGAAATTGCCATTAGCTTATGGAGAGAATGCACTGATGTAAGTGACAAGTTTGACCGCATTGCCATTTAGAATGAAGCAGGCCCTACGGTGATTGTTGTAACAAACGTTAAAGTTTCATCTGTTGCTGATACAAAACCAAAAACCAAAAAAAGGAAAAATTTTAAAATAAAAAAATAATAATATATTATATTCTAATACATACAAATTACTATATTCAATTATCCAAAAGAAAATAAGCAAAATAGTAACACAGTTTTAAGTAGCAGGGTCATTAATGCTAGGAAGTACAAGTGCAACTCATGTTTATGTTAACCCATGGATTGTAGAAACAATCACATTACTTGATAGGTATAAAAACCATATATTGTGCATACTCATTTCATATACATTTACAGTAACTATCCAAAGAAAATGTCAATTATGCAATCAATCCAACCTCGTCGATGACCATATCCGGCCCGTTAACATCGTTGTTCAACATAAACAAGAAAAGTCGTGTCGAGCTTCTGGTAAACCACTAATGCGTTATCATGTAAATTTGTTTACAACGTCCAACTATACTTATAACTTCATATCTGCTCCAACTTATGTTTGCAGGAAAAGACATTTACTGTAAAGGCATCCATTGCTGATCTGACATTCATAGACACCTGGTACCGTGTGTTTTGTCCTAAATGCAAAAAAACAACATAGAAACAAGGAAATAGTTGGTTTTGTACATCAGATGGAGTGACGAACAACCCAATATACGTGCATGTAAGTGTAATTTTATATAAATAAGCACACACATGTCACATTAACCAAAAAAAAAATGTCACCCACATATATAGGTACAAACTTTCGGCCACCATCACCGATCCAATTGGTTCAATGTATCTCATTGTGTCTAATAATGTCATGCAAAAATTAACAAACACAACAGCAGACAAGCTCATAGACGACACTGAAACCAACAACAGAAGGCGGTTACCATTTGTCATCAATGATAAGAAAGGTTTGTCAAAAAAAATGGCCATCAAAATGATGAGGACATCAAATACAAAAAACATTCGATTCATATTAACCGACATTGAAGCAATCACTACTCACCAATCAGTCGCACCAGCTCCACCAACTCCGCTTACCTCAAAGATAAGTGAGGTCGACCTTACAACGTCATCCACCTCGCCTAAGTCAAAAGTCAAAAGAAGTTTGAACTATGAGGAAACTAGTAAAACATTACACACATTCCAAACATCACACAAAAACTCTTAACATGTTCGTATTAAATGACATGAAATGCAGAAACACCATCCCCGTCAAAACACGCACATTATCCCAATTAAGAACATAATCACAACTGTTATAGCGGTCATTCCCACCTTTTTGCACGGATGTTTTACATAGACGGATATTTACGTGTGTTTAATAATATAGACAGCTGTAGTGGTATGTAACTTCTATAACACATCGTCTTTTGATCGTCCTCATGTAACATTTTGTAAACCCTATATATATAAAATAGTTATTACAGGAGGTTAATTACAACATCTTATGATTTCCTTACTCTACATTCTTTCATCTAAAATAAACCTAAACGACTTAGACAACAAAACCCTGCATCTTTAAGATTATCATATACTCTTTTTTCCTTTTTACTTACGTTTCCACAAGATGAATTACATTTCAACTGTATTCTCCATGGAAAACTAAAAATCAATATTACAAACGATAATTACAACCCTCATTCTCATCCATACACCACTGACACAATCAATACCTGTAAAAAGCATAACTTATGAGTGATTTGAGTTGACTACACGTATCAGCAAAAAATCTCACTATATAACAACCAGCATCAACAAAAAAATATCACACACCGAAACAAACAAACAAAATGGATGCCAGAATCACAGCTTACACCCAAAAAGAACAAGCCATAAAACAAAATACAGTTTATCATAACAACGATGCTACACCAAGAACAAAGAAGACTCCATAGCCTTAAAACAACTTATACGAATGTTGCTACCGACTTACGCAACAGAATACAAGCGATCAACAACCTGCAAAACGACCCCGACTCAACTTTCAGATCCTTCGTTTTAAGAACTTTGCTCTCTTGCACGTCCTCCGACAACCTCATGAACAACAACCTACAACAGTACATCACGTATACTGAGAAAACCATAACCATGTTCGAAGAAATTATTGCATTTCTAGAAGGCTAAAACATAGAACCAAAAAGAAGATAAAATGAAGTATTTTGTTACTTGTTGTTCTTGTAAAATCCTTACTTTATTATCTTATTATCGTTAAATGTATGTCTGATCAAGTTTCTAATCTTTTATCTATGTTGAATATAATACAATTACATTAGCCGAGTTGACATCTTTCACCAAACCATAACCATAATCAAACAAATAAAATAAACTATGTTGTTTCTTCTTACCTTTTTACATATGTTGAATGTAATACAATTAACATCTAAAACCCATTCACCCCATGCGGGGCATGGGCTTCTCCTAGTTAATAATATTTTCCAAACGATCATCATAATTAATAATATTTTCCAAACGATCATCAGTACGTGTCATTTGTTGAGTCAACAATTGAAGAAGACAAATTGATACATGTCATATTAGCAAAAGCATTTATACTTTTCCATGTTGGCAGAAGTATTTAACAACGGGTCTATCGTTTATTAAACCTAACAATTTGGAGATATGATCACTAAAGAGATGTATTGGAGCTTGACCTTCACCCAAGGTGCACACAATAATATCATAAGCATTGTTATTAGCAGTTGATTTATTTGTTTCATTTTTAACTTTAAAATCTTTAAGCAATCTAGTTAGCTTAAAACACCTTTAAATAGTGTATTCCTTACTATTACAATAATTACAAACCAAAGTAGATCCATTTCCATTCTTTCTTTCTTTTTTACATCGACCTTTAGTATTTATTTAAAAATTGCATATAAGTTTGATTTGTCGTGAGAAGTTAAAATTATTTAAACATTTTACAGTGTACACTCTCCAATATCAGTAACATTGTCTCCTTGTTTGTGTGCATCAATATTCTTCCAAAAACCATTTTCAGCAAACAAAATATCAAAAACAAGTCCCTGTCCTACACTCTTCCACCTTTTCAAGCCAAAGCTTTAGTCGACTCAACATTTTTCATCTCCCCCTCTCTCTTTCCAGCAAACGTTTCTGCAACAAGTAAAGGGAACGCAATAGTTGCATCACAATGCACCTGGATCACAACAATCAAAATCAATACCATTTAAATTAAAACCTTCACCAAAAAAAAAACATTATATTTATCAGAAAAACCTTGACAGATTTCGCAGAACCCCGTATTTTCCCCCATGACACAGCTTCATCAGGTCGAGCACCAGAATCACTACCATCAAACTCCTGAGCAGTGTTGATGAAAACAGCATAATCCGCACCATTTCTCATCATATTTGCATTGCATATATGGTGTTTTGGTAACCCCCCTCCTAGAATTATCATCCCTGTTTTCCTAGGGTTTGCATGCACAGCCTCACTGTTAATCGCGCGTATATCTGTTGATCAGTTTTCACAAATTATAACACATGTAAAATGATTATAATAATAATAATTCAAGAAAGTAAAGATGAGAGAAGCTTTGTCATATCACACCTTGTACTACATCAATAACAAGACCCGGATTGCGAAATGAATGGAAATATAACATGTCCCCAAGTGACCCGTCTGTTAAGCCTGGGCAAAACACAGGAATGTCGTTCTACAATAAAACTAATCATGTTATGGCATAAATGAGAAAAAAAAAAAAAAAAAAAAAAAAAAAAAAAAAAATGTGAGCATGGGATTACCTTATATGCCCAATATAGATAAGAACTCTCGTTATTAATCTCCTTCCCCAAACGCGATATTACTTTTGATGGTGTCCATAACACATGCTGTTGAACAGAAAGCGGATAGAGTGGAAATTTATATGATGGAAAGGATTTTGTATCTAAAGAACAGATTACAAAATGTAAATCAATAACACCTTGAATGAGAATACGATGAATACCTGTGTATTTTGTTCTTGAAGCATTTGGTCAAATATTGGGATAATCCAGTCCTCAAATTTACAGTAGTTGTCATTTGGCACCAATAAGTTGCCAATACGATTAAGACCTTTTGAGCGTAAGGCAGCACCAGGTAGAGAAAATTCACCTCTGTATGTGTCTGCAAGACATTTTATCAGATCTTCCTCGATGCCACCGGTTGTTGTCACAATCACATCAACCTGCATGGATATAAAAAATAAATATATTTTGTAAAAGAATAAAACTCTGATATGTTTGTTTAATTGTTCATAAGCATGAGAGTTGCAAATTACTAACCATATGATGTTGAGTTAGATAGCGAATAATGTCTCGAACACCAGAAGAAATGAGGTTTGAAGTGAAGCCTAGAAAGATTTTGCACTTGACAGACTCTCTGTAAGCTGGGTTACTCTCTTCCTCACTGCAATCTTCGGTTACTTTCTCATGAGAAAGCCTCCAGTCTAGCTACAATCAACAAATTGGACGCCTCAAGATCATACAAACATGAAAAACCTAATTCCAAAAGATAAAAACAGTATAAGGTGGTAAAGAATCTGAGAACGAACCACATACCATTTGATTAACGGTTTCAATTGCGTCACCGAGGTTAGAAGCTTGGAAACCGGTGGAAATTAGGGATTTGAGAATCTGTGAATAATCAATCCCATTGTTGAAATCGTAGCCCTGGATTTTAGCACAGCTGCCTTCTAAACTCTCTGATTCCTTGAACACCACCGACCTTAAGTTCTCAATCACTCCTGCCTCTTTAACGGCTTCCCCCATATCTGCAACTTGGGCTGCTGCACTCTCACGCTACTAAGGGGCTGTTTCTGTTTTACGAAACAAACAATTTACAAATACACAACATGACTAGTAATTCTCCAAAGATGAACACAAACAACTAAATCCTAATTATATAGCTGACCTAACGTAAATCAGAAAGTCAGAACATTCCTTGTCTTTCAGTTGTGATAAATCAAACAATTTTCCCGATATACATAAAAGTCAAATAAGTCATCATACTAATTTTCCTTCAGTTCCGATAAATCAAACAATCGCACATATGCAGGACATCAAACATATCAAACAACATTGCAAACGAATCAAACAAATCAAACCTGTGGAACAGTAGGTAGAAGGATATCTTGTCGAGCCGGTGAACGACAGAGAGCGCCAGTGGGAAAGACGAACCGACGAGGAGGGGGCGGCGGGAGGTACCGGCGACGAAGTGCTGGGAGACAGAGGAGTTCACTTTGTAAATGAAAAATATTAACAGAAGATATTAAACAAAAACCTTCATCTTTCTTTATTTTTATTTATTATTATTATTATTTTAATGAAAGCATTCAAGCAATGTATGGCAGGGATGTGGTTGGAACGGAACTGATTCGAATAGGATGTAAAGTTCAAACAGAAACTCGGACTGATTATGCTAATACAAACCAGTTCGGTTTGGGTAATACGGGTTTCGGTTCAGTTATTAACCGAAATAGACGAAGAATAACCCAAATAAATCGAGTTTCTTGAAAGTAGAGTGAAGTTTGATTTCACAGTATATGTTTTTTTTGTGTTCGATCACTGTAGCTCAATGATGTTTAGTATATTTGTTTAAAAGATCCATTTTTTTTTGCCTTTTAGGGGTGCATGCTTGTATTTTACCATTTTAAAAGGTTATTATAAAAATATGAAGGTGCCACCTAGTGAATTTTGATATGCCTCGTGACATTTGGTAAACTAAAATCATCCACCTGGATTTTTCCTTTCTATTACCAAAACTTAAAACTCTTTCTCTTTAACCTAAATTAAATCAAGGTCTTGCACTCACTTCTTCTCCCCATTTCGTTGACCTTCTTCAACTGCATTCTCACTTCAAAAATCCTCACACCAAGATTACGAGTAAGTTATGTTAGATAGGCTCGCTCATGGATGCATCAAATATGACAACTTGCAACTGGAACTATGAATCTATTCCTGGACGACTAGGGATGGCAACGGGGCGGGTTTGGGACGGGTTTTGGTAATCCCGCCCCATCCCCGAATATGAAAATCGATCTCATCACCGACCCGATTCCCCAACGGGTACCCGTTTACCAAACACTATCGGGTCTGCGGGTATCCCAACGGGGCAACGAGGATCCCCGTTTAACATTCAAATTAAGAATAATTTTGATGCAATGAGAATACAAACCATTAGACTTAGTGATGCAAGTATAAATTCATATCCAAAATAATTTTGATAATTTACAAAACCATTAAGGGCAGACATATTTGTTGTGATACATAAGTGGTTACTAATGGCAACAAAGACACTAGCATTCATAAACCATAATATCACTATTAGTCTAAGTAATATGAATAAAAAATATCAAAACACTAGCACTACAAATAAATAGGAAGTTATCTCTAGAAATTATCTTTAAATCGTTCACAACAAATAAGATAACTCAAGGAAATTAATGTGTGTGTGTGTATATATATATAATCATATGAACGATTTCAGGTAACGGGTTTCGGTTTCGGGTAATCGGGACGGACATTTTGTTTACCATCCCCATAAGCAAACCTACAAAAAATTTCTAAAAGCATACCAAACCCGATCCTGGCCCCGATTAACTAACCCCAAACCTGACCCTAATATGTCGGTTTTCGGTTTTCACTGTCGGGTTCGGTTTATTTTGTCATCCCTACGGACGACCAATAATTGTTCCCACCATCAGCAAGATGTCGTTGCTTCCCCTGTTTCAATTCAAGTACCAAACAATTGTCGTAATCAACCTAGGAGATAACTTTACAGGTGCCCCAAACATTAATACCGATGACATGCAAATTTACCATCTGAGGTGTGAGAATGGTGTTGATTAGTTGCCATCTTTGTGTGATTTGTGGTGAAGGTGTGGATCCTTTTTTTTAAAGGCTCTTTTGTGGATAAAGTTTGGTCTTAGATGCATAAGTTCACTGGTTTATTCCTATTTGTTCATAAGAAACGTATGTAGCTCATGTTCAATTTAAAGATTTTGAAGTTGGATAAAAAGAGTTTTAGATCAGATGAGCTTCATTTATTACTTCTTTTGGGCCATTTGGAAGGTGAAAAATGACTCATTGTTCAAACACATTCATCGGGTTATTATGAATGTGTTTGAACTTTGAACAATGAATCATTTTTTGTCTTTCAAATGGCCTAAAAGAAGGAATAAACTAAAGTTCATCTCATTTTAAAGTTAAATCATAGATGATTTAAAAGTTAACTATTTCAAATAGTTAAAAAAACGAATCAAATTGTATTTCTTTACTAGATTGTATTTCTTTACTAGATTGAGGAGTGTTGTTCTCCTAATATATATATATATATATATATATATATATATATATATATATATATATATATATATATATATATATATTAAAGTTGTGATAGATTTCAACAGTAAACTGTTGAAATTCTATCCAACTATGGTCCTTCAAATTTTGTTATAATTTTTGTGCACTTTTTTATTTGTTTAGGGGGGTGTTATGTAAAATGATTCCACCGCTTTCAAACGTGGCGAACACTATTTGCCGTTTTGTAAATAGTTTTTGTCTACGTGTTTGTGCTTTGTTTCACCGTTTTCTCGCCCAATGATATTTTGATTGTTGCAATGGTTGCCTCTTCCTAATACTTCCCACCACCTCTCTTATGAAATATCTTCTAATTCCACTCTAACATTTTCACCGCCTCTCTTATTGTTTCCTTATCAACCATTCTCCTCTACCGCCTCTTTATTCCAATCAGAAGCTTATAACATCATAGACTGTTTCTTTCGATCGACGACTTCAAAGACCTCTTCACCTTCTAATATTCAATTAGGGCTTCCATTTTTCTTTCCTTAACATCTCTCAAAGCATCAATCCCTGCCACCGGTCGATGTTTCCATCATATTTACATGTGTTCCATAAAGTTTTTTTTTCCTGATTTTCTAGGGTTTTTGTCTGGCTTACCTGTTAAGATCGACACCACCACCGGAGGAACCGATGAAGCATGAGGTGATTACAACTGATGGTGGAAACCGGTTGTTGGTTGCATCCTTCTTCCAATTTACAGACGAATCGGAAGTGTGATCGATGGAGATTTGTTGATGTATACGAAAAAGGAGATTTTGGTAGCATCGGAGGTGAAATCCCTATCTTCTTAACGAGGCTTTGGACCGCTAGGTAAGTGCCTGTCTTACCTTATTTATATTCATGTAATTGTCTTTTTTACTCAAATCTATGTTATTGATGTTAAATTCCCTCCTACTTACCAGGTAATAGTTTGAGGTATGTGTATATTTGTCTATGCATAAAATCGGTGTTTTTGTCATGTGATATGATGATTTTCAGGCAAAAGTCGACTTTTTGATTCCCCCAGGTGTTGAGATATGTGTATATTTGTCATTTCTAAATTCTCCCTTTACGTAAGCTGCAGTTGTTTTCAGATGCACTTACAATTCGAAAAATGGAAAATACACACAAGGATGTGGCGTTGATAATGTTATCATGTCTTGCGGGCACCATGATTGCATCTGTTTGGTACCTATCAGTACTTTAGATGTAACGGCCCAAAATCCAGGTATTCTTCTATTTGGCCCTGCATCTTGGTTATATTGTTAATTTAGGGCTTTCATGATAGGCGAGTACGCTGGGAATACAAGGTGTACGCTGCGCGTACTCGCGTGGCTCATTTGGACGCGTTCACCCTCGGGTACGCTGGGCGTACCCAAGGTTACGCTTGGCGTAACTTGTCCAGATCTAAAAACCCTAATTCCTTTGGAGGGCTATAAAAGGAATGTGTGGCTGGACTTCTCAGCCACCATCCCTCAGAGTGAAACCCTAAAAATAGTGTGCCTTCGTTCTTAAGCCATTTTTGTGTATTCTAAGCTTGGTGGTGCCATTCCAAGGTAGCAAAGGAGAATAAGAACTCATTGGAAAGACTAGAAGTGATGTGCAAGTGTAGATCTGAGATTTGCAAGGATTAAAGCTTCATTATTAGGTAAAAAGTTCGGATCTTGTCACTTGGTTCATGTTATATGCTTCAAGTACCATTTTCTAGGGTTTCAGTCCCAAAGGTGGAGACTTTTTGTGCAAATGGCCTCCACAAGCTTAGATCCTTTATATTTCTGGTCTATTGGAGTTGTAGACTCATAAAAATGACATCTTGGACGTGAATATTGCTCCATGCATGAGATCTAGGTCCTTGAGTTGGAATAGAATGTTGTTAAGAGGTTTTGGAGCCTTTACAGCCATGCCAAGGCTTAAAGGTCTCGACTTTATGGGTTTAGACACATTAACAGAGTCGGATCTAGAAGTTGGAGTAATGGCTTAACCGATTAAGACCAGAAATGAAGAGTGTTAGAATCTGATGGTTACGCTGGGCGTAACTTCCAGTACGCGTAGCGTACTGGGTGGAGACCCTGATCCATGGGTTGGCTGTACGCCCCGTGTACATCTAGCAGTACTGTACCCGGAAGGGTTTGACTGTGTGACCGGAAGGTCGGATATGTTATGAGATATATGTATTGTGTGTGATAAGTTAATCGTTTATATGTGCCATGTATGATATGCTTGATATGGGCCGGAAGGCATTATGTTATGGGTCGGAAGGCGAATATGTTATGGGTCGGAAGGCGTTGTGATGTGGACCGTAAGGTTGACGTGGGTAGGACCGGAAGGTTTACCTAGTTGGGACGGAAGTCCCCTGAGACACATGGACCGGAAGGTCAGGGCCTGGAAAGGCGTATGTGCGTAAGTTGTATTTTGGGGAACTCACTAAGCATTTATGCTTACAGTTGTTGTGTTATGTGTTTCAGGTACTAGCGAGGACCGTGGGAAGGCGCCGGCGTGATCGTACACATTGTCGGAGAAAAACTATTTTATGATCATTGCGATGTATTATATTATGATAACATTGTTCACATTTGAATTTGGAACATTAATAGATGGTTTTTGATGCTTACAAAAATGAAAATTTTGTTTTAAATTTACGTTGTTACAAGTTGGTATCAGAGCCTTGGTTTGAGGGATTCGGATACACCTTCGGGCGTAACTGAAGTCAAACCGGGGATTTGAGAAAATTTTTAATTAATAAAATCAATAAAATTTTGATAAGAGATTTTGAAACAACCAAAGGAGAAGAAGTGTGTACGGTCAGCCAGCGCCCGAACGGTAAAATCCCCAAAATACTCTTACCATATGTGTTATGAGATATGTTATGATGTGATACGCATGCTAGTAGACTAGGTATTCATATTAGGGACTAGAGTGGCCTGATTTGTGATGCCTTAGTATAGGGAA